TGCCGCTCACTGCGGCTGCTGGCCGCTCACGCTGGCTGCTGGCTACATACGGTAGCCCATGGCAACCCACTGCAGCCTACGCCGTTGCCGGTGACTCACAGCAGCCCAGCTCCAGGTTGAGCGGTTGTTCAGCATCTTAGCTGTAGAGGGCAGTGTCATTGGCCCTCATATGTGGGATCCGAACCGGGGCTCTCTGGCGTCCCAAGCCAGTTCTTAACCATTGCGCCACTTGGCCGGCCCAAGATGTCTTCTTTTAAAATGCTCCAGGCAAGGCACCATCCAAAACCTCGCGCCCGCGATGTCGCAAGGCTGTGGCCACAGAGTCGTTTGGTGCACACGACCTCAGCGAGGGCCGCGCATCCCACAGGCCGCGCTCCCTGACCGCCTCTGCCTGTGGTTAAATCTCTCCTCCTCCAGCGCGGTCCAGCGTCATGTGGGCTTGCGGGCGCCCTGACCCACCAACCCCAGTCCTAATCCATCGCACCAGAGCACTGGCCAGGGACTTAGATAGTCGTTTCCTGGGGCCCCAGTCGTGTTTGAGCGCGACCCCTCCCGTAGGCACGTGGGCAAGGTTGACCCCAGGGCCTTGTGGCATTTATGTTTTCAATCCCTGAGTCACACCCCCTGCCGGTCTGCCTAAATCTCCGCGGCCCCCCGGGGAGACTGAGTCACGTCTGCAGCATCTCATATTATCGATGGTATTGCTGAGAAAGGCGAAAAAGGCAGAAAACCTCCAGAACATTTGATCCATTTTAATGGTTGGACCAGAACAGGGGTAGATGGGCAGCTGAAGATCAGGTCCTCCAAGACACGAATGAAAATCGCAGATTACAGCGTAAATTGGCAAGAAAATCTGTAGCTCGCCTGAGCAGCACAGGAAGAAAGAAATGCTGCGGGTTGCCTGGCGGCAATTCTATCCTAAAAAGCCTCCCCAGGGCCGGCTGAGTGGCGCGTTGGTTAAGAGCTGGCTTGGGACGCCAGAGGGCCCCGGTTGGAATCTCACATATGAGGGCCAGTGACACTGCCCTCTACAGCTAAGATGCTGAACAACAGCTCGACCTGGAGCTGGGCTGCCGTGAGTCGCCGGCGTAGGCTGCAGCCCCTGCTGCAGTGGGTTGCCATGGGCTGCCGTGTGTAGCCAGCAGCCGCAGTGAGCGGCCGTCCAGAAGCCGGCGACTGATCTGCCTTATCCGGGAAGAGCACAATGATGGTGCCAACTTGGGCCAGTGAAGCAACGTCCTCCACAACTAGACTGATGAACGAAAGGACAGCAACTTGTCTGTTCCCCTCCCCCACTTCCCCAATAAAATCTTAAAAAATAAATAAAATAAAATAATTAAAAAAAAAGAAAAGCCCGAAGTGAAGGAAGAATTGGAGCTGCACACAAAAAGGGAGATGGAAGAAAGAATAACTATAGAAATCCCTGAAATTCTGAAGAAGCTTGAGGACGATTGTTATTATATCAACAGGAGGAAACCGTTAGTGAAACTTCCATGCCAGACTAACATCACGACTATTTTGGAATTCCACACGAAGTATTTTGCTATCCATGCAGACTTTTCAGCCAATGAGAGGCCTCGTCATCATCACGCTATGTCAAACACCAACATGCATGTGCATTACATCCCAGCAGAAAAGAACGCTGACCTTTGTAAGGAGATGGTGGATGGATTAAGAGTCACCTTTGATTACACTCTCCCATTGGTTTTGCTCTATCCATATAAACAAGTTCAGTATAAAAAGGTGACTTCATCCAATTTTTTTTCCTTCAGATTAAGAAAAGTACCACAAGCACTAACAGGAGGAGCTCTCTCTCAGTCTACTTTTGTTGAATCCATCCATCCAGCCGTCTACGGAGAGTCAGCTGACCAAAGGTGAACCGGCCACCCCCAAAAGGTGCAAAGCTGAGCTAGAAGCCTTGCAGCGTCTGGGGCGGTCCACCTGCCATTCTGCCAACTGCGACAGGCTGACTGAGAGTAGCGCCTCACTTCAGTCCAAGTGCTGGCAGCCGGACATGTCTGCCATCATGCCCAAGCTGTTCCTGCACCTGGAAAAGAAGACACCTGTGCATAGCAGGCCATCCTTGCCTGTTCCTCTGACCCCTAGCAAGGAAGGAAGTGCAGTGTTTGCCAGCTTTGATGGCAGAAGAACTCATGAAATCAATGAGGTGCTCTCCTGGAAACTTGCACCCGACAGTTACCCCCCAGGTGACCAGCCGTCTTCACCCTCTTACATTTACGGGGCACAACACTTGCTGCGACAGTGAAACTTCCAGGAATCCTTGGGAAAATGTCCTTTTCTGAGGAAACTCTGAAGGCTTTACTGAAGCACTTTGATCTCTTTCTGAGTTTTTTAGCAGAATACCATGACTACTTCTTCCCAGGGTCTGCCTATGTCGCTGCCTGTGATATGCTGTTGCCGGCGACTCACGGTAGCCCAGCTCCAGGTCGAGCTGTTGTTTAGCATCTTAGCTGTGGAGAGCAGTGTCACTGGCCCTCATATGTGGGATCCGAACCGGGGCCCTCTGGCGTCCCAAGCCAGTTCTTAACCATCGCGCCACACGGCCGGCCCTATTTATTAGTTTTTTGATGGCTCAGAAAAAACAGCTTCTTTATCTAGCTTTGCGCTCTAGGTCCCAGTGGATAATTGGGGCGATGGTGGGCCTTCTTTACAGACAGAGCAGATGCGATGCCCAGCTGGGCAGAGGCGGGCCCATTTATTTTAGTTACATACTGTAGTTATTTCTGTTGAGTATTTCCTTGGTGCCTGAACGGCCTCCAGTATCTGACTCTAGCCACTGTACATGTCATCTGTGATGGTGGGAAAAGAATAGCTGTGTTCCCAGTTCATGGAAATGTGCACAGGTTAGGCTGTTTCCGTAGATGGTGGAGTTGTTAGCAATAACCGCATTTCTTAGTTGTTTGTTAGCACTAAGCAATATTGTTCTGCAAACTGTTTTCATTCTTATGACGAGACTGAGCAACTCTTGCCAACAAATTTTAGTTTTGCTTGGAAACTGCAAAGTAGTCCCAAAATATTCTAGAGGGAATTGATATTGATGGTGAAAGAAAATTTGCAGCTATACATTTGCTCATTATAGTTCCTTTTCTGTAAAACCTTATTTTTGGTGATCTAAAAAAAAGTGTTGTCTGACTTGTTTGAGAGTTTACAGCAATACTTTGTTGTGTCATGTTGTGGTTCCCATTCTGTAAAATGTTATTTTTGGTGAGCTGAATAAAGCAGAGCCCGTCTTGTTGGAAAGACAAAGAAAATATAAAAATAAATAAATAAAATGCCCCAGGCAAGCCCACTCTCCTTGAGGGAGAGGAAAGCTCAAATGGAAAGCCCAAAACTGATCTGTCAAGTCACTGCGCAGGCACTTCAGTATCACTGATCTAAAGCAGGTGTTAAACGATGGTCTTGTTAGTAAAACTGTAGTGGTCACTGCTTTGCCCTTGGGCTAGGATGGCTTTTCTGGCTCGAAAGCCCTCTGGTAAATGAGACCACAGCCCAGCTGAGCAGGAGGAGGGCTGTGCCCAGTGGGCCTTGGCCGCCCCGCCCCTCCAGATCGCTCTCCTCTGCCCGCAGGCCTACGAGAAGCGCTTCCCTACCTGCCCACTGATCCCAGTCTTCCTGGGCAGCGAGGTCCTGCGTGAGTCCCGCAGCGCGGATGGCGCGGTGCACGTGGTGGAGCGGAGCTGCCGGCTGCGTGTGGAGGCCCCACGGCTGCTGTGGAAGGTGGGAGCCCAGGGGACTAGACGGGGTGGTGGTGGACGGTGGCAGGTGGGGGGACCTGGGGATCAGGGTCAGGACCAGGGGGTGGGGCGAGTGTGTGTTGGTGCAAGGGGGTGGGTGGTGGGGTCTGGGTCGGAGGGCCCACAGCGTCCTGGAGGTACCCCAGTGGGAGGCTGGGCTGGGCTGGGACTGGGCAGGGTCCGGAGGACTAGGGCCTAGAGGGGTTGGGGAGGCGCGGTGGTCCGGGAATGGGGGGATGGAATTGGGGATTCGGGCCCAGGCAGATGAGGGGTTGGGGAGGTAGGACGTGTGGTCCCTGGGTCCAGGAGTGACCAGGGCCAGCCCTGGGGTTCGTGCCCCCAGCCCCTCGCCCCCTGCACACCCTGGCAGCCCCTTCCCTTGCAGATCGCAGGCGTGGAGCATGTGGTCTTTGTGCAGAGAAACGTCTTGAACTGGAAAGAGAGAACGCTCTGCATCGAAGCGCACAATGAGACCTTCGCCAGCCGCGTGGTGGTCAAGGAGAACTGCAGCTACAGGGTGAGCACAGCACGCCCGGCCTCCACGCCTGGCCCCCTGGGCTGTGCCCTGACGTCTAGGCCTCGCGCCAACTCCTTCCCTCCAGGACCTGGTGGGATACGACGCAGTTCAGATACACAGCTGATACCTTTTCTTTTTTTTAAGTGCAAGGAGTCTCAAATATTGCTTGAGACATACTTACTAAAATGTTATTCGCTGTTTATCTTAAATTCACATGCGATTGGGCATCCTGCATTTTATTGGCCAAACCTGGCAACTTCCCTCCTTCTTTTTCTTCTCCCTCTCCTTTTCTGCCTTCATGAAACTGTGCCTCAGTTTATCTATCTGTAAAATGGGGTCAACGATCTTACTTACCACGTAGGTGGTTGTGAGGATTAAAGGAAATAAAATACCCAAACCCTTTGACCAGTGAGTGCCTGGCTCACACTAAGTCCTGTATATGTGTTGGGCATTGTAATATAATTAAGTATAATTATTATTCTCCAGTACAAACTGGTTGAGTGCCTACTATGTGCCAGGCACCCTGACACGCGCTGGGCACCTAGAGGTGGACCAATTGGCCTGACCATTGCCCTCATGGAACTTTCATTCCAGTGGGAAACACAGATGAGAAAAAAGGAAACCCTATAGGCTTAACTGTCACAAGTGATAAGAAGGAATCCAGCAGCTAGACTTACAGAAAATAAGAGGAGCCATGCTGTCTCGGATAATAGTGTCCTTGGGGCTTCTCTGAGGAGGTGCCTTTGAAGCAGAGAGCTGAAGAATGAGAGGGCTGGGAACAGAATTCTGGGGGAGGAAATGGGGTGTGAAGACCCCCGAGGTGGATGGCTGAGGTTGAGAGAGGGGGCTGCAGGGGCCGGGTCCTGCTGGCCTCGGGGCTGCAGTGAAGAAACTGGAGTCATTTGGAACTCAGCTCTGCCACTTGCTTGCTGAGTGGCGCTGGGCAAGTTGCTTCCTCTCCCTGGGCCACCCTGCCATATCTGTGAGGGGACACCAGCAGGACCTGCCTCACTGGTTGCTGGAGGAGCAAATGAGATCATGTAGCTGCGCTAGACTCCAAATGGCATTTTTCATGATGATAACTTCGTGTGGCTACTTTGGCGCATTACAGATGTTTCGGGTGTGTCTGCACCCAGCTCCGCCACGGAGGGGCCTTGCTTTGTTCATCTGTCTGGTGGTGCCTTGTACACAGCAGGTGTCCAATAAATGCTGATCGCTTTTTCTTTGCACACCTCCAGCTCCTGTTGGGGCCACCTGGAAACTGGGCCTAGGATGTTCAGATGATTACCTCCAAGGGGGTGTGGGTGGGAGCTTTTATAAATCCCTTTTAGTGTAGTGTTTCTCAGAGCGAGTTCCTCCAACAGCTGAACCAGCATCACGGAGGCTGCTTGTGACATGCAGATTCCTGGGCCCCATCCTGGGCCTATTCCATCCAGGCGCCTGCATAGTTAACAGGCTCCCTGGTAATACTTCTGCCCATGGAAGTTTGAGAGGCACTAAGCTTGGATGTGCATAGCGGCTCTGTCAGTGAAGTTTGTCTTTGCTTATATATATTACATATACACATAACATATATTTTATTTATTTTTATTTTTTATTTTTTTTAAAGTTGCAGAAAAGAACAGTTTATTAGAAGAAAAAATACATGTCAAAGACGCAGAAGCGGGCCTGAGCAGTAGAGAATGACTCAAGGGCCATTATTAGAAGAGACAGTACACTCCAAAGTGTTTGGAGTGGGCCGAGCAAAAGAAACTCAAAAGCCTACATAACATATATTTTAAATATAATATATATATGTATATATTTATAAATATATCTTAAATGTATATTTGTGTACAATTTATTTATGTACAATGATGTAGCATATTAAATATATTACCTATTTATATATATCATTATATTTGTAATTTTTAAGGGACAGGCATGCAGACATCAGGCCCACTTTCTTCTGACCCCTCCTGAGAACGCTGTTTGTTCGCTAACACTTTAGATCTTGCATTGTGCTCTGGGTGGGGCCCCTGGGTACTGCTGGCCCCCTAGGGTGTTGCCAGCTGTGACATGCAGTCCACCTTATGCTCTGACTGGGCACAGGCCGCTGGGGGAGGGCATGGCGTCCCCCACCCTGAGATGGCGTCATCACCCCTACCTGGCTTTCAGGTCCACCCAGAGAATGAAGAGTGGACTTGCTTTGAGCAATCCGCCTCACTCGACATCCGGTCCTTCTTTGGCTTTGAAAGTGCCTTGGAGAAGATTGCCATGAAGCAGTACACAGCCAACGTCAAGAGGGTAAGAGGGAGCTCTGTGAGTCACAGGGAGGAAGGTGCACAGACCTCGGGGGCCTCCAGTCCTGGTTCCAACCCTGCTCTGCCACCTGATAGCCTATGTGACATCGGGCAAGATCCTTCACTTTCCTCATCCATAGAATGGGTATTCTAACAATGGCTATATTACAGGAGATGATGGATGGAAAGCAAGTCCGTAATGGGGGCTCCGTAATCACTGTCCTGATGCTCCCAGGCTTATAAACTCTGTAGACAGAGGAAGGACATGGTGTGGTGCTTTTTCCTGGTTAAAATTATTGCTGCTTCAGGGCCGGCCAAGTGGCTCAGTTGGTTAAGAGCTCACTCAAGAATGCGAGCTCTGAGCAACAGGGTCGCCGGTTCTATTCCCAGCCTGAGCTGAGCTGCTGGTGAGCTACCAACAGGTGGCAGGATGGCTCAGCTAAAAAAAAAAAAATTACTGTTGCTTGGTGTAAAGATCTCAGACCCATCACCAAGTAGAGCCCTTTTCGTGTAATGAAACAGATGAAATCCATTTTAACAATATATTTTATCCAGTGTGCTATCAATATAAAACTTACTCGTAACTATTTTACATTCTTTGTTTGGTACCCAATCTTGGAAATCCGGTGCATATTTAATGCTCATGGCACATCTCCATTTCAGCTGCTCAATAGCCATGGGTCAGGGCTGGGACCGGAACCCGGTGGGGGTGACTCCCAGACTGGCAAGGTCCTGCCCCGGTACTGATGTGTCTCGGCTCTCCCTGGCTTCCAGGGCAAGGAGGTGATCGAATATTACCTGAATGAGCTCATCTCCCAGGGCACCTCCCACATTCCCCGGTGGACGCCTGCTCTGGTCCGAGAAGAGGATGCCCGTTCCCAGGCTGGACTGGGGGATCCCGGCTCCTCGGAGGTCGACAGGCCCAGCAGCGCCCAGGGTCCCACTTCTGAGATGGTCGGTACCGATGGTAGGTCACTGTGGCCAAGGCCCAAAGTCCTAGGAAGGCTGCAGTGGCTTTGCCCACTCCATGGGGGGAGAACTGCCACGGGTCCCCGTGGGGACAGATCTGGGTCCTGAAATGACTCAGCCTCTTCCCTCTCCCAGCTGCTTTGCTCTCTCTCCCTTCAGGCTCAAGAGCCAGAACTAGTTTATTTCTAGATCAGGAATTGACCTGATCTGATGCCTTAGGGCTGCTCTTTTCTCTGGTTTTATTACTATTTTTAATTATATGAGTAATGCATGATCATGGTAGGAAAAAAAAATTCAAATTGCTCAGAAGACATCAAGTAGGAAGTAAGACTCCTTTCCTCCCCCTGGAGGCAACAATAGTTTTGTGATTATATATGCTGAAACTATCTAGGCATCTATACATACGTAGTATGTATATACACACATATGGTTAGACACACACACATACATGTATAACCTATGAACATATAAGAGCATATTATACATTCTATTTGATATTTTGCTTGAACAGCTTTCTGTATCAGTGCATGTGCTTAGCACTTTGCAGTATTTCATGGTGTGGTTGTACCATAACTTAGTAATATGCATTTATTATTTATTTTTAATTAACTTATTTAGCTAGTGCCCTATTGATAGACATTTAGGTCATTTCTTTTTTTTTTTTAAGATTTTATTGGGGAATTGGGGAAGGGGAACACACACACACACAGCGTTGGGGAATCGGGGAAGGGGAACAGACAAGTTGCTGTCCTTTGGTTCTAAAGTCTAGTTGTGGAGGACATCGCTTCACTGGCCCATGTTGGTATTATCATTGCGCTCTTCCCAGGTGAGGCAGATTGGTCACCGGCCACTGGACAGCTCACGGTGGCTCTTGGCAGCTCACACCAGCTGCTGGCTGCTCACGGTAGCTTTACAGCGGCCCACTGCAGCCTCACTGCAGCCTACGCTGTCGTCAGCGACTCACGGCAGCCCAGCTCCAGGTCGAGCTGTTGTTCACCATCTTAGCTGTAGAGGGCGCAGTGTCACTGGCCCTAATGTGGGATCTGAACCGGGGTCCTGCTGCTCAGAGCTGGTGTCCCAAGCCAGCTCTTAACCAACGCGCCACTCGGCTGGCCCAGGTCATTTCTATTTTTAAAAAATACAAATGATGTGGTATATCTTTGTACTTAACTTTTTAAAAAATATTTGCATGAGTATGTATAGCATATAATTTTAAAAGTTGAATCGCTGGGTCAAATTTTTGGTAGATTTACCAATTAGGCTTACAGAGGTTGGACTAATCTATGTTCCCACCAAAAGTGTGTAGCTGTGTCTATTCCTAACTTCACCCCAGCTCCCCACAAGACTATTATTAAACATTTTAAACTTATGAAAGGCAAAGAATGACCACTGGTAGATCAGTGATCACTCCTTTCCTTATGAGTGAAGTCAAGTATTAATTTTTCTTGTTAGTGACTCTATTTAACTTTTTTTGTGAATCTCTGTTCTTGTCCTTTGGTCCATTTTCCTATTTGCCCACTGATTTCTTATTGCTTTGTAAGAGCTCTTTGCATATGAAGGCAATTAGTCCTCTGTCATATTTCAGACTTTTATTCACATGGGAAATGTTCAGAATATGACATTAAAGGGGAAAAAAAGAAGTATATAAAACTGCACATACCCCATGAATTCAATTTTAAACCATGTGTACATGTGCTCATAACGATTCAGTTTTTCCTTTGGGGCCACTGAGTGTAGGGCTTGCCTGACTTGGAGATACCCCAGGTAACCAAAAATACATCTGGGGCCATGTGTAGGAAGAACAACTTCATTTGTTCAACAAATATTCATTCTGCACCAAGCACTAGCTGGCTGCTATTGGGCATGCACTTTTAAAATATTAAAAAAGCTTTTTTTTACACACTGCACTTCGGCACACACTCTGCAGGCCATGCCCTGTGCCGTCCCCATTTTGCACAGGTCTTTCCTTCCTTCTCTGTCTGGGCCGTCCACCAGCAGGGCTGGTACTCAGAGCGGCTGGTGGGAGGAACAGTCAGGCCCCTTCCACTCTGCTCTGAATCACTGAGCCTTTGTGCTGCGAGGAGAAAGGGGCCTTCACAGCTGCCTGGAGACCGGAAGGATGCTGGTATCACCTGCCTCCCTCGTGTTTCTCCCTCAGCCTCTCTTTGCTGCCTCCCTGTCCCCAGAATCTCCGCCTCTGACCACTCTGCAGTATTTCCAGGTCTGCACAGTCTCCCCCACAGCATCTTTCCTGCCTCTACTTACCCAGATGCCTCCTGGCATAGTTGGTGTGACCACCAGCCCTGGTTTTTTGGGTTTTTTTTAAGATTTTTATTGGGGAATTAGGGGGATGGGAACAGTGCTGGGGAATTGGGGGGAAAGGGAACAGACAAGCTGCTGTCGTTTTGTTCTTCAGTCTGGTTGTGGAGGACGTTACTTCACTGGCCCAAGTTGGCACCATCATTGCGCTCTTCCCAGGCGAGGAAGATCAGTCGCTGGCCGGACGGCCACTCATGGCGGCTGTTGGCCTCTCATGCTGGCTGTTGGCTACACACGGTAGCCCATGGCAACCCACTGCAGAAGGGGCTGCAGCCTATGCCATTGCCTGTGACTCACAGCAGCCCAG